CCATTGGCAAAGTGTCTCACTTACCTCCTCAATTCAAGAAAAAATGCTCTTATTTTAAGAAAAAAAATGACTTATCTAGATTCAGATTTTTTTCCAGTGAGTCCATTCTCTGCCAGTCCTTCCCTAAGGAGTCAGGAGTTCACACAATCAAAAAAGATTTGCTCAAAATGACAAAATAGTGATATTAAAGCTCACTTTCATGTTTGTAACAAACGTATTCATATAACTGTTCAGACCAAGTATATTCTAAGAGTTTGTGCAGATAGAATATGTATATTTCTGGAAGATAGGTCTAGCTCACTTATACTATAAATGTACACATGAATGTCTTTAATATATCACTGATAAGAGGCGGATTTGTTGCCGATCGATGTCCCGCTGCTGCAGTCACTCTCCAAAGACACTTTTCCTCTCCGTCTGGGCCGCATCAATGCAAAGAAAATCATTTGTTCTTCGCCAGCTTCTCAATCAATTAAAATCCAACATCAGGTCTACTAGAAAATAAATACTGGTAGCATTTATTAAGCAAGGATGAAGCTAAACTGGGTAAAGCTGTGCATCAAAAGCTTAAAGCCTCCCTGCTTCCATCAGATTTGAGAAATAGCAGAAAGGACAGCTGCCATCCTTCCCATGCATGAATGTCTTGGCACATTTACACCAGACGGTCTGAGAGATGACAAAATTAAAAGCAAGAGAGCTCCATCTCAGAGTGCATGAGAGGACAAGTACACAGAGACTCAGCGAGTAAGGTTAGATGGAAGAGATGCCCGGATGGAGCTTTGGGTTCCTGAGATGAATCTGGTCGCACTCAAAGCTGGAGCTTTCTGCAAGAACGTCATGTCTGGAGAAAAACTGCAGCAGTGTCTCATTAGGAAGAGTCAATGTCTCAGTGGTCTAGTCAAAGCCCGGACGTCAATCAAATCAGAGAGTCGTGCGGAAATAAAGATTTTAGATCATTCAGGACATTTCTAATCCAGGTTATTGAATCCTAAAGTTAGCTTTTCTGTTTTAGCTTCGTCTTTGTTAAATAAGTGGTAAAATCACAGGAGCTACTGTGTGTTTGATTAACAGGTCAACCCATACAGTTTTTTATGGCCGATGCTTTGCTGATAACGATTGTTACCGTATCCATAATTATATCAAAATAAATCTTTATTAAAGGAAAAGTTCAGTCATATTCAGAATTCAAACTTAAGTGTTTTTAATCAAGCGTAATTTTCATGTGAATGTGCTTTACTGGAGGCATCCATGTTTGTCAAAGAACACTACTGCCACCTACTGGTTTGTGACGTCACGGTGCGGTATCGGCTGTTGATCAAGTCACAGTGCTGTATCTGGTGTTTGTCACAACGCGCTATTATCCAAGTCATCTTGAAAACATTCTTCTTCCAAATGTTGGCTACAAGGTGTTTTTTCGACCCTAACCCAAACGACGAACCCGTCATGATTTATTTAAGGATCTGACCTAAAATGCAGAGAACCACTCAGAGGTAAAAAGGCAAAAGTTTGAACAGGTTTATGGATAAAATCAGCGAGGATTGGATTCAGGAAACTCAGTGTATTCAGAGGTCTGGTGAACTGGACTGGAAGGGAGGAGGTAAGTTCAAAGAGGTGAGTTCAGGTACCGTGGGAATCTTGGTTGCCGTAAGGATAATTCTAGTGAGGGACTTGTGTTTGGGAGGGTTCTTCTCACGCTTCGAATCCAGTCTGTGTGGGCTGACCTAATGAAGGGGGGACCCAGAGGAGTATGAGAGGACTGTCACTCGTAAATCCAGGAGAACTTGAACGGAACTTGTGGAGATTAATCCCCTGCTCAGTGTGAGACTCAAACAATCCTTCCAGGGGAAGAAGGCCAAAAATCCAGCTTGCATGACTTCCTGCCGTAAAGGCAAAGACCAAAACAAGGTTAGGCTCAGTGAAACAAAGACTCAGTTAGAACTCAGCTTGGCTAGAGTACCCAAAACTGGCAAACTCTGGCGTCGAGGTAGTGGCAGTCCATGGCTTGAGTACTCCACCAGATAACGATTCAACGAGACGCAGGTGTGCAGGGAGGACCAACGAGGACAGGGCGCCACC